ATGCTGAATCCTTCCTGTGAATCTGAGAAGAAAAAAAAAACGAAGAGTTATGTTAACTTGAGAAAATACACAGCCACATGTCTAAAGAGATCAAGTGTTTACCTGTCTGCCACCCAGGCCTCTCAAATGTGAACTTCTCGATCCTGTTAAGCAGTCCCTCAGTCATGTTCATCAGTTTCACAGTGTTGTCAAAGATCTTGTTTTGCTTGGCGGAAAGGTCCTTGTTATTATCCATTAGTTGTTTAAACGATGTCGAAAGGTCGGTCTTGAGACTATCGATGCTGTCCTCGATCTGATAGAGCCGCTCAGACCCCATCTGACTGTACCCAAGAAGGGTCATAACGGTGTTCTGGAACCGAACCATGCCTTGCACTTGCTCCTCGTTGGAGCCGTCCATGTCGATGTCGGGCTGTAGAAATGGATTCATGGGAGCTCGATGGCCTGAACTTGCGCTTGAAGAGGCACTTGTCGCTGGGTAGGGAGCCTGACGCGCCCGCTGCTGTCGTCCTAGTTGTTGGCGGAGTAAACGGAAGCGAGCGGTGTCATCGGCACGTACAAAACGGCAGACAGCAATGTGCTTCAACACATTCTGACGAACATTGGTGGTTACTTGGCATTGGGTGGACGGACATGGATAATGATTATCGTGTTCCTCGCTGCGTTCAACCATGATATCGGGGAGTCCGGGTCGTTGAACGAGAACCGCAATCTTCTCATGGTATCTCTTGTTATGCTCCTCGGTTTGTCCCTCCGGAGGGACCCGGCAAAGTCTTCGATCAAAGTGTGGGCAGAGAACGGTAGGCATCGAAGGAGTTATGAGTGGAAATGTGTTTAGAATACTTTTCTGCTGTTGTGATATGGAAGTGTTGGAATTGGTTTGCTTATGAACAGTATGAAAATAAACAGAAAAAGAAAAAGAGATATAGATGTCGTTATTGTACGAGATTATTTTGTGGTTCGTTGGGTGTGCATTGCAAGGATAAACGCAATTCTGCTTCTTCTGATGTGGTCCTGTTGGCTTCGGCGCGGGCGAGCGTACCATGTACGTGGTTGTGAGTAAATAGATGGCGATACCAATTGGGTATTACTCATATCGGCCAAGCAGTTGCTTCGCCAGAATCAAAGAAAAAAAAAAGAGGCAAGCGAGGGAATAAAGGGGAGAGGATGTGGTCAAGAAAGAGGAAGGAAAATCAATGAAGGGCCCGTGCAAACATGTGCACCCTTTTCTCTTTCGAGTCTCTCAGTCATTCTTGTCCTCTCTATCTCGCCCTCTCTCTCTCACACACACACACGCACACACTTCCATCTCCTTTTTCATGGAGAGCCGCGAACGAGCGTGTTACGTAAGTGATTGTGAGTAAATAGATGGTGATACCAATTGGGTATTGCTGATATCGGCCAAGCAGTTGCTTCGCCAGAATCAAAGAAAAAAAAAAGAGGCAAGCGAGGGAATAAAGGAAAGAGGATGTGGTCAAGAAAGTGGAAGGAAAATCAATGAAGGGCCTGTGCAAACATGTGCACCTGTTGTGGTACGGGTTTATTTTTATTTATCCCTTTTTATTTAACGAAGAAACGCTCAACCGATCACGCCACACAGCCGATACTGCTTATTATCTGCTTTGTGGTGCAAAATAAAGAAAACACACTCTTTCTTCTCGTTAATTCTACCCCCATACTTCTCACACCCTTTTCTCTTTCGAGTCCCTCAGTCATTCATGTCCTCTCTGTCTCGCCCTCTCTCTCTCACACACACACACGCACACACACACACACACACACACGCACACACTTCCATCTCCTTTTTCATCGAGGGCCGAGGCCGAGCGTGTTATGCACGTGATTGCGAGCAAACATATGGCGATACCGGTTGGTATCGCCCATATCGGCCATGCAATTGCTGGACCAGAGTCAAGGAAAATAAGGGGCGGAAAGTATGGGGTCTAAGTCAACGAGAAGAAAAGAGTTGTTTTATTGTTTTACACCACTGGAGTGATATTTAACCACGGAGGTGATAGCTAATCACAGAGGTGGTAAATAATCACGGAGATGATAATTATTATAAACAATCACGGAGGTGGTAGTTGAGCAGCGACCATCTGCCATGTGGTGATGTGGTCGCTAGCAGTACTTCTTCGTTACATAAAAAGACGGGGTAAAATAGAAATAAAAACCCCGTACCGCAACAGGGGAAAGGATTCCACTCAAACATAATTGAAAGAAAAAAAAATACTCATCAAGGCTCGTACATGCATACATCACATCATACACCCTTTGGTCCCAGGTCTCTTAGTCTGCAAGGTTCGTATTCTGAGTTCTCACGAGCTTGCCTTTCGCCCTCTCTCTCACCCGCACTAGCTTTTCATTTGGGGATATTCGTCCTTGGTCGTACACCTTGTTGTTTCTATCAAGATCCAGGCCTAAGAAAAGTATAAGGTTATGGAGGCCCATTCGCGCCGTTATGCTTTGACCACTTTGTAAAGGAAGAAAACAAAAAAAAAAAAAAAAAAAAAAAAAAAAAAAAGAGCGACGTAAGCACATGTTTTCGCCCAATTTTCTCTTTTTTTATAACACGAGTTGGAGGAAGTTGTCTATTTGAAATCTTGCATCGTCCCTCCTTGACTTCCTCTCGTTCTGTCCCTCACCATCTTTTGTTTTTCTGTTGGATTGATGGTGGAGGTGGTTGTTCCTTAACTTAACCACTCATTCCTGCTACCTCATCCCTGTTGTTTTTGCTTAATTGTTTTTCTTATGTATAATTGTGTGGGCAAGAAAAGAGCATGCAGGTGATTAGTATCGCTTGCCTTTCTCTGTTTTCTATCTTTTCGAAGCACCCGTGTGCACGGATGCAAGTTTACGAAATGAGAGATACAGGGAGCGGAGAGGAAGGGGAGAGAGGGACGACTGTCATCAGAACACGACTCATTGTACACAGCTCAACTGTCGAGAATTCTTACACCCTTTTAAAAAGAGGTGCAATCCGAATTGGACTTTTCCACCCTTCTGTTCCATTTTCCTTTTCTCTGTTGTCGTAATCGGCATTATTCATATTCACTATACCGCCTCACGACACTCAACTGTCCTCTTCCTCTTTATCCCTCCATCCGTCCCCCCATTCCCTCCACGCACGTTATCCCTTGTCTCCCTTTCTCCTTCACTCTTTTCTTTCTCTTACCGCCCTTCCCCCTTTCCCTCTACCCCCCTCTAGCTGCTCCCCTCTACTCCCCTCTAGCTGCTCCCCTCTACTCCCCTTCACCTTCCCTCTGTCCTCCTTTAACCTCCCCTTCTACCATTCATCTCTCACCAATTCTTATTCTCTTCTACCTTTAGATGCACAATCAGGTCCTTGGCACCTCTCCCTGTAGTCACCTCCTCTTTGAGTGCAGAATTACACGGACGGCAAGGCATAAGATACTTCGAAGAATAAACTATATTTTGCTAATTTTATTTGCCCTGTATGACATATTTGACAAAGAAACAAACGAGCAAACAAGGACTGTATAGGATCCTGAGCTTGGTGGAACAGTTGATTTGGCCTTGTTTCCTTGTGTTTGAATATAAAGAGAGAATGAAGAAAGAGACGAGATCTGAAAAGAAGACAAAGCGAATGACGGTTCATGTGCAGAAGAGGCCTGGAAGATGAGGCTAATTTGTGTCTCGACTCTGGCCAGGTTCAAGTATGAACGGGTGTAAAAATGAGTGTAAAAAAGTATGTAAAAGTCAGGTCAAGATGGCTAGCATCCTCAAGACAAAAACAATTTCACCAGTAAAATGGACACTCAAGGCGTCAAACACCTTTTGTTGCTTTCTGTCAAATCAAAGAAGCAAAAAAAAATGGACAGTTCGCAGATAAGAGTCGCCTAGTCAAATGACGCTTAAGGCATCCAGCAGCGCTGGTCAAGCCAGGATTAGACCAATTGTCGGCAAATAGAAACCTCCTCTATTCTGCTGTAATCCTTACTCAGTTGTAAAGGAGGCAGAATCGGGCTTTGTTTACAATGGGGTAAGAAAAGGCGATTCTGTATGTTCCTACATGTATGTAAAAAATGGATTTGGGGCTAATTGATACACCATTGTAAACATTCCAAAAAAACCAGAGCCTTACTGGGTTGTACGACCTTCATTTTATGAAATGCTTACCTATGTGTGTTTATTCACTCGTCGAGTGCGCCTTACACTAATGTAAAAGACCCCTTTCATCGAATCTTTACTCATTGTACACGTTCATTCATACACCCTTGTAAACATTTAATTTACAAGGGTTGTAAGCATTTCCGCGTTGATCTTGGACTTGCTCTTTTGCCACTCTAGTTACACTTTTAAGGGGTAGTCAAAGAGCCAAGGTGACGAAGAGGTGGTCCTGTGTTTATGCATTTATGCTCTGCACCTTCACCAATCTCTGCTTACCAACTACTTATGCGCCCTCACCACTATAGGCTCATGCACGACCAGTCTTGGTCAAGCACCTTTACCATTTCGAACTTGTGGCAGCCAAGCATTCATAGTGACGTTTCTTTTCGATCCTTCTATAACGCTTCTTCAACGCAGCTTGAAAATTTTTACGCTAGTCACGCACAATCGAATTGATAAGACAAGAGAGGGATCTTTGTTAACAGCCCAGACACCTCCATTTATGTCGGTGTCTGGTCATATGACTAAATTACTGTCTCTAGCCTAATTACATTAGCTGACACCCCCGAGACAGGCAAATATGCGACACAGCTTTGTTTTTTTATTTTCTTTAAGGGGCCGTTATGAAAAGACACCAGAACCTGGACCGCGCATGGCTTGCACCAACTATTTTGTCGTAAGTTTTTATTTTATTCCTTTGTTGCCCGCTTCAAGCCTTTAGTAGGGGTTCTTCCCGTCATTGCAAGACGCTCAGGGGCTCCAAGTGTTGGAAATGACTGGACATCCAACGGACTTTCTCTGACGTCCCGAGTCTTGGCGTTGGCGGTCATGATCAACGTGCGCACTTGGAAAAGGATATAGAATGTCTCCTCATGAAGGTCAAGTTGACCCAACTGAGATGGCAAGGTGATGGTGCTCAACTTGGAGTGAATAATCACGTTGTTAACCTTGGCTCCGATGTAGAATGTTATAGCTCCGCCGATGGCTTGAAAGGATATCACTGGAGGAGGACTGACAAGCTTCCGATCCAACTGGTCAAGAGAGTCTTTCGTGAAAATTGCAATCCTGAGACGGTCGGTATTGCTGTCTTCGATCCGCGGATTCTTGGTCACGACCGCTACTGTCTCCTATCCTACACGCGTTTCGAGACATCGGCCAGCAGCAGCTTACGTTGGTCACCTGTGGTACTGGCTTGTCAATCAATACCCTTTTCTGGGTTCAGAGTTCTGGCTCAGAGCTGAAGGATAGCTCGACCCACTTTGAGGTAAGCAAGTCAGCGTGGTTAACACTGTCTATGTTTTTATTGCTATTTCTGTTCATTGTTTGTCACTGTTACAATTCCTAACATTATTTCCCCTATTTCTCTTTTGTCCACCTGATAAAATAGTACGTGGAGTTCCCCGGGTTTACCGATCTCGAATCGATCAAGGCGTACGTTTCTCGAGTGCGGAGCTGCCTGCTGGATGACGAATCAAGGCGGGTCTTTGACGAGCATCTTCCGCAGGAGGCACTCGACATGCTGTTCGATAAGTTTGTGGGCCGCTTTAGACCTGCAATCGTTGCCGTCGTATGTATTCGTTTGTACTAATTGAGATGAAGACGAAGAAAGGGCCCACAAAATGACCATGTGCTTACCCCATATTTTTTTTTCCTTTGATCTCTAGGAGAAAGTCGTGGAGCACAGCGAGCATGGCTCATGGAAGGCACTCATCCAGGACACGGAAGACAAGCTCGTTGCATGGGAGCACAGGACCATCAAAGGCAATCTCTGCCGCGAGCTCAACCGTCTTGACCAAAAGCACAAAGACACGCGCCATGACAAGTCTGAGAAGACTGTCCTCGACATTCTCGGCTTCTACTTTTATAACCGCTGCTTTCGGGGCGAACACACGCTCGAGGTCGACAGCGTCAATGCATCCTTGGTAGAACGCGCCTTTGGTCGGATCAAGATCGTCAACCATAACGCTGTCACCGTCGTCGACGAGCCCTTCGTTTTCAAGGCAGTGGAGAACTACTTCACTGCGACGGACCCAGGTTTTCAAACGGCTCTCAGAGAGTTGATGGATCGGACAGATGCAGCCGCTCAGGGAAACCTCTTCGAGCGGTACATGATGACCGTTTTCAGCAGGACATTCAAGTCGCGACGTCTCTCTGATTGGCCGCATCAGCCCCCGATCTTGGAGATGTGCCCTGATCTTGTCGGTGAGGTGGAGATTGTTGGCTGGAGAGAACCTGCACTCCTGCAAGGAACGACCCATGCGATGATGTCGATGGAGGAATTTATGGACGCACATGTCAACCACCATTCAACTCGCAACAACACGCCTGTCGCTCCTTTCTTCTTCCCCAACAACATGCCGTCTGGACCAGACATGGTGTTCTTCATCCGAATCGACGGTCGCAGGACGGTACCTGTTTTCGTCCAAATGAAGCTGCATCAGAGTTCAGCCAAACTCTACAATAAGCTCTGGCAAAAGGCACTGGCCACGGTTTCGGCGTCTCGCATTCAAGACCATGCCAAGGATTTCCAGAAGTTCTGCCCTGACAACATCTACATCAGCATGGTCGTTGCTTACCCCATGGTATGTGGTGCCAGGTTGCCAGCAGCCGTCGAAGTTCCCGAGAAGGATGCGCGTGGCGTGCAGCAGGTCGTGATACGTGTCAGCGACACCAACTTTAGCCACATCTTCCCCAAGGAGCATGTAGAGTTCATTGACAGGCTCAAGAATGCGCGAAAGCGCTCTGCTGACGACGATGACAGCAGCGATGAGGACTTCAAAAAGCAGAGGAGCTAATCTCACTGCATCTTCCTCTGCCTCCTTGACACAAATAAAAATGCACTTTTACAGTATATTCTTATTGACTTGATACCGAGTTGATTTTATCTTCTCTTCAAGCAGCTTGTTTTGTTTCCACCTCTTGCTCATGAACCTCTCTGCAAGCAAGATTGAGAAGCACGTGGTGAATTTTCGAGACTACTGCCCAGACAAGGTCTAAATCAACATGATCGTCGCGTACCCTACCAAGTGGACTTCCAAGTTACCAGCGCTTTCAGATCTTCCAAAGGACATCAGTGGTGTGCAACAGGTCGTGATCGATGTTGGCAATGATAATTTCGGCGACATCCTCCCCAAGGAGCATGCACAGTTCATTGATAGACTCAAGAATGCTGGAAAGCGCTCTGCTGGTGACGAGGATGGCAGTGATGGAGAGAATCGTTCTAAAACGCCGAGAATTAAGAGCTGACAGCAAAATATATATTGGGGGTTTTTTGTTTACTTGGCTCTGTTGGAGTGCTACAGAATAATAGAAAGACAAAAATACTAACGGAAACGGAAGGGAGAAAATGCGGCATAGAAATAGGCGCCATAGTGTGGCTGATTGTGGCTGATTGTGAACATCTCATTTTTCCTTGTATGTGCACTCATGTTGCTAGTAAAGTGCAGTCGTGGTCTCATTTATTTGTTTTTCTGTGAGAGTCGAAAGGAGGAGGCGTACAAGGGTATTTGGTGAGGAGTATGTCGTGTGTGGAAGACCAGAGTGAGTATGGGAGAATGAGGAGTGGATGGTTGAGTTGATGGTGTTGTATGTTGATGGTGTTGTATGTTGATGGTGTCTTCTGTTGATTGTGTTGCGTGTTTTGTACCATAGTTTTGAAGCTGGAAGTAGGAAAGAAAGAAGAGAAGAAGCGAGAATTGGGTATTGAAGAGGTTCTTGACAAGAATTTTAACTTTGGAAACATTTGCAAGGCGTTTGCACGTATTTTTTTAAACCAAAAATTAAGATTTCAAAACGCTCTAAAAACTAACTAACGCATGCACGCCACTTTTTTTCACCTGTAACCATTTTTTCCCTCAACAAATTAGGTTTGAAAAACATCCGAGGGGTGCCTTTTTTTCGGTGAGAGTCGAAAAAAGGGGCGTACGGGCGTACTTGGAGCGGGGTACATCATGTGTGGAAGATCAAAGTGAGTAAGGAGTAGATGGGTGAGTTGATGGTGTTGTGTGGCCATATTGTGTGTTGGTGGTGAGGTAGTGTGTGGTGAAATTGTGTGTTGGTATTGAGATGGTGTGTGTGGGTTGTTGTGTTTTATGTGTTAGGGTATGTTGTTGTGTGTTGTTGTTTGTGGTGGTGTGTTGTTGTGTGTGGTGGTGTGGAAGAAAATTTAATCGTATATGCAGTGGATTAGAGTTTGAAAAAGGTGACAGTAAATCTCTATAAGGGATATAATAACTGGCTTGTGGCAGCCAAGCGTTCATAGCGACGTTGCTTTTTGATCCTTCGATGTCGGCTCTTTCTCTCCTTCTTGCAGGAGAATTGGAGGTCGCGTCGTTGATGCTTTGTTGACTAGTTGAAATTGAAATCGTCTTTAAGGGGTATCCTAAATGCTTTATTGCCAGTATCACTGCTGCCTTATTGCAACAGTTGAACCTCCGATCAGAGTAGCTTTAGATAAATAGACACACACTACCATAATACATCCACATCTCTTACTTCCACTCCTCCTAAAGTTGCATGGTAGCAAAGGTTCACGAATCCACTGACCAGACCCCAGACCCCCCAGTACAAACCCCAGACCCCTCCAGTTCCCCTGACACCTCACCCAGCACCTCTTCCATCCCCTCGCCCTGTCTTCCCCCTATCGACACGTATTTTATCACAGATTTTTTATCGGAACTCACCATCATGAACAACGACAACCAATCCCTTCCCACCATCATTGAACTCGACACCACCTCCAAACCCGCCAAGTATGACGGCACTCGCGATGGCTTCAAATGCCTTGCGTGGCTAAAGGAGGTGCAACGCTACTTCACCATGAAGAACGTACCTGACAGAAAACGCACCATTCATGCCGTCAACCTCCTTAACCAAACCTCTCTCCTCTGGTGGGAATCCCTTAACATCGACGACACCTGCGAGTACCTCACCTTCACAACCTTGTTCAAGAAGGCATATATGCCTGACGGCTTCCTTGAACACGTCCGCGGCCTCCTCCTCAATGCCAAGCTCACCACCAACCTCGCCGAGTACCTTACCCGCATCCGCCTCTACATGAACATTTTACTTGCGGAGGATCCCACCGGCCGCGTCTTCCTTGAATCCACCGTCAGAGTTGTTTTTCTCCAAGGCTGCCCCGACGACCTGAGGCAATTACTTCAGACTGATCAGGTATCTAACCCCAACAACACTTTTTTCGACATGTGCTCCAAGGCTGAAGGATTTGACACCATCTATGCTTTCGGACCCAGAGGCGCCACCAAGGGTATGTTCGCCAAGGCTATGAATAACATCCGCTCACAAACCCCGACCTCCAACTCAGCCCCAACCTCCGCCCCCGCCTTCGACCCAATGGCGATGGAGATTGATAACATCAGTGTCGACCCCACCACCCGCGCACTCATGTCCTCGGTCCAGTCCCTCACTATCGCTGTCAACGCTATGGCATCTCAGTTCAACAACCAGCAACAGCAACAAAACCGCCCGCGCCTTGCCCGCCTCACCGATGAAGAAAGACTATACTTGGAGAACAACAACGGCTGTTTCAAGTGCCGCCGACCCAATGCCGGACATTACTCCTGGGACTGTGGGAAAAACCGCAATACGCCCCGACCTCCCAGGTCCCAGGCCGTCAACAACATTGCTTACGTGGGCAACCCCCCAACAGACCAGTCGGGAAATGCCCCCAGCAACTAGGTGCAGTCCAGGACCCAGTTGCTGAAACCCCCTCCTTTTACCCCAGCGGTGAAGGGAGTGCTCACACACCAGAGTTAAGTTCAAAAGAAAAAATAAAAAAGTCGCCAGATCTATCAGTTGAAAGTACTTCTAGCCAAACTCAGATTTCAAACTCAATTCGTGATGCTCACTCCCCCCCCACCCTGGCACCTTCACTGGACCAGACCCCAACCTTTGACTCGTCCCATATTGTGTCTAGAACTTCAGATGGCCCAGACCTGGACCTGACCGCCCCTGTTGTGTCGACCACACCGCCTACGAAGCGACAGTTGAGAAGACGGAGACAAAAGCAATTGCGTCTCTGTTCATTTTCTATCGCCGAGGCTGAGCGCCAACTGCTCACTTTTAATTGCCTTGTCAGCGGCTTTCCGGCTCGCGTGCTGATTGATGGCGGTGCTGAAGGTAACGTGATCAGTACCTCATTTCAAAAGAAAAACAATTTGTCACGAACCGTCATCAACCCCATTCCTGTCCTCCTTCCCGACGGCTCATCCTCCATCACCAACCATACTGTCAACATCACCATCGAACGCAACGGCTACTCCGACACTCTCGACCCCATTCTCTACCCACTCAAGAAATACGACCTGATTCTGGGAAAACCATGGCTCACACACATCAACCCTCAAATCAACTGGCGTACAAATGCTCTACACTTCACCCACAACAACACATCCATCAAATGGGACTGCACAGGATTTAAATCAAACAGCATCCAAACCCGCACCAAAGGTCTCCTCCTCTCCCACCTACACTTTCATACCATGGCTACCCTCCCCGGCTCGGACATATTCTTGGCTCTGGTCAAGTCCTCGAAGGATCTGCAGAAGGACAAGGACAGGAATGACAAGGACTCACCATCGCCACCCAAGCGCCCTCTTATGACACCTGAGATCAGGTCAATCGTCGAAGATGAGTTTAAGGACGTATTCCCCGACACACTTCCCAGCGGCCTCCCACCAGACAGAGGCGATGCGATGAAAATCGAGACAGACCCCACAGCAGACCCACCATTCAAGCCAGTCATTCGCCTCTCCATTGCAGAACTCGACGAACTCAGGAAGCAGCTGGATGAATTACTCGCCAAAAAATTCATCAAGCCCAGTACATCACCTTACGGCGCTCCAGTACTTTTCGTTCGGAAAAAGGATGGCACCCTGCGTATGTGCGTGGACTACCGAGCTTTGAACGGGATCACCAAGAAAAATCGGCATCCACTCCCCAGGATCGACGAGCTAATTGACCGTTTTCGTGGCGCACGTTATTTCAGTAAACTGGATCTACTCTCAGGATACCACCAACAGAGGATCTACGAACCACACACACACAAAACAGCATTCCGATGCAGATATGGACACTTTGAATTTAACGTCGTCCCATTTGGCCTCACCAACGCACCCGCCTCCTTCTCCAACATGATGCTAAGGGTACTCGACCCGGTTTTGGATAAATGGGTTGTTGTCTATCTAGACGATATTCTTATCTACTCTAAAACTAAGGCCGAGCATCTAAAGCACCTTCGCAGCGTCCTCGCCCTCCTTCGACAACATGGACTTTACGCCAAACTCAGCAAGTGTTCGTTTATGCAGGAGGAAACCGAATTTCTTGGACACACCATCTCCAAGGACGGGATCTCAACTTCAGCAGGACTTGTCAAAGCCATTCGGGAATGGCCACGCCCCACCAGCATCAAAGACGTCCAACAGTTCCTGGGCTTGGCACAATTCTACCAGACTTACATCGACAAGTTCGCCCAGATCGCCCTTCCGCTCTCTCAGCTTCTAGCAGGCGGCGCAACTTTTTCATGGGATAATGACAAGGAACAGGCATTTCTCTCCCTTAAAACCGCCATCAGCTCTGCCCCGGTCCTACGCATATTCGATCCCGACTTGCTAACAACCGTCGAGACCGACGCATCCGGATTTGCTATCGGCGCTGTTCTCTTTCAGACGGACGCATCAGGAGTATCCCGACCCGTTGCTTTCACTTCACGGAAACTTCAACCGGCAGAGAGAAACTACCCAACCCATGAGCAGGAGCTACTGGCAGTTGTGCATGCCCTCAGGACGTGGCGATACTACCTGGATGGATCCCACTTTGTCGTGTACACGGATCATGCAACCCTCCGCCATTTTCCGACACAACCAAAACTCACCCGCCGCCAGGCCCGATGGATGGAGCTACTGCAGGAATATGACTTCGACTTCAAGTACAAGCGCGGAGCCGACAACACAGTACCCGACGCCCTATCTCGCCGACCCGACCATCGTGCAGAAGATCCTGTCAGCCCAACAACAGACACAGTCGAGATCCATTCAATCGATATCCAACTTGAACCAGGTGTGAGGCAGCGCCTGATAGAAGACTACCAGAGCAGCCCCAGGCTCAGTCTCGTCTACAAAAGCTGCCTCGAGGGAAGTGCCCCCTCTGGTTACTCTTTTCATAATGGTCTTCTCTACTATGATCGCCGTGGTACCACCGTCCTTGCCATACCACAGAAAGCTGACATTTGCCGCTCTCTTTTACATGACTGCCACGATACCCCCATAGCTGGTCACTTCGGGTTCAGGAAGACATACGACAAACTGCGACGGATGGCATACTGGCCCAACATGGCCAAGGAGACTCAACTCTACGTCGACTCATGCGAGAAGTGTCAACGCAATAAGCCAAGTCAGGAGCGACCTGCAGGACTCCTCCAACCTCTCCCCATCCCCGCCAGTCGCTGGGAGGTTGTGACCATGGACTTTATGACCCACCTACCCAAGACACCCCGCAACCATGATGCCATTACCGTCTTTGTCGATAAATTATCGAAGCATGCCCACTTCGTTCCCAGCACCACCACCGCTACCGCCACCGACGTTGCTCGCCAGTTTTTCGACAATGTCTTCCGCCATCATGGAATGCCAACGACAATCGTCTCGGATCGCGACAGCAAATTCACCAGTCACTTTTGGCAGGAACTTCATCGACTCATGGATGTCAAGCTTGCAATGTCAACAGCCTATCACCCACAAACGGACGGACAGACGGAGGTCATGAACAAGACACTAGGAGTTATGCTACGCGCTTTCATCGACGAAAAACAGACCAACTGGGATACCCTCCTTCCAGCCGCGGAATTTGCATATAATAACTCCGTCAACCACTCGACCGGCTATTCACCTTTTTTCCTCAACACCGGCCAACATCCCCGCATCCCCGCCAGTCTCCTCTCCCACACCGACAGCAACGTACCCAGCGTTCACAACTATCTTGATCAACAGTCGACAGCACTACTTTTCGCACAAGACGCACTACAACGAGCCCAGGATCATCAGAAGGAACAGGCCGACAAGAGAAGACGCGACCACGACTACAAGGTCGGCGACAAGATCCTCCTTAGTGCAGAGAACATCACCATGCCAGCCGACAGTGGACTCAGCTCGGATAAACTCAAACCTCGCTTCATCGGACCCTTTACATTGCTGGAGCAGCGATCACCAGTCACTTTTCTAGTCGACCTACCGCCCTCCTACAACATCCACAATGTCTTCCACGTCGACCTCTTCCGCCATCACATCGAGTCACCACTTGCATTTGGCCGCCGAACATTAGCACCACCACCACCAGTTGTCATCGAGGGCAATGAAGAATACGAGGTCGAGTCCATTTTGCGTTACAGGAAATACCGACGGCAACACCAGTTCCTTGTGTCATGGAAAGGGTACGGACGGGAGGACCAAACGTGGGAGCCCGTCGCCAACCTGGAGAACTGCCGCGACCTAGTTGACGCGTTCAAAAAGGACCAGGGGATCGTTTTTTAAAAGGGGAAGGTGCAACAGTTGAACCTCCGATCAGAGTAGCTTTAGATAAATAGACACACACTACCATAATACATCCACATCTCTTACTTCCACTCCTCCTAAAGTTGCACTTATAGCTGAGCGAATGTTTTTTACGAGCAGGGAAAATGTATGATCCAGCACAGGTTTTTAATGTTATAACAAGTGCAGGGTATGTGATTTAGATCAATATCAAGACTTAAGGGGCGGGAGTATTGAGGTGATGTCCTATTTATTACACACCCGAAATGGTCAGAGTTGAGTTGGTCTTGAGTGCCTCAGACAGTGCCTGAGCTCCGTTGTCTCCGATCGAGTTCCGCAGCAAGTTCAAAGTGGTGAGAGTCGAGTTGGTCTTGAGTGCCTCAGACAGCGCCTGAGCTCCGTTGTCTCCGATCGAGTTGCGCTCCAAGTTCAAAGTGGTCAGACTCGAGTTGGTCTTGAGTGTCTCTGACAGTTGTCCAAGTTCCTTTGCTTTAATCATTTCAGGCACCATCTCGAAGGATAACTTGCGAAGATGGGATGGTGGTTTTGATGGGAAAATGGAAAGGCTGATGAGATCGCTCGGGAGGACAATATGAATCATTTTCATATTTGGATGTTTCATGATGCGACAAAGAACACCGTATCGTGCGGATGTCGGTTGTAGTTTGCTGCTGAAGTTTGGTCGAAAGTATTGGAGATTAAGATGAAGAATCGACACGTTTGATGTCTTGAGTGCATCTGCAAGAGCTTCAAGATCGCTTTTGGTGCCCTCCAAAGCCAGGTTGATAACGAGCTCATAGACATATCTGGCCTTTCCCAGCGCGGAATAGAATTGCTCTGCCATCACTCTTGACCGAAGCTCCACTTTCACTTGACCATTGTTCTCGTCAAATGACCCTCCTACTGCATCAACTGCACGTCGGAATGCTTCGGCTGCCGTCTTGTTGTAGTTCTCGCGGTAATGGTCCATGCACACCCATTTGACATGTCCCTCGTCCGTTACAGTCCTGTACAGATTTCCCAGCACCTTGTTTCCATCCTTGTCCTTCAGGAACGTCTCCAGCTTGCGCAGATCTGCACCCTCCAAAGCTTCCTTGTTATCCACCTGCCCGGTAAGCCCCTCGAGACCTAGGGCATCTATTCGAATCGGAAAATAATTCGATTGGATTCGAATAAAATGTAAATAAAGGGCTTTTAAGGGGCATTCGAATCAATCGAAGTTCGAATAGATGCCCTATCGCTACCTTCGCTGTCCATAGAGTTTATGACTTGATCCACCCCAGGTACGATGGTACCTTGCAGCTGCTTCAAATCATCGATAGTCTGGCCCAGGACGTCTGGGCTGATCAATTGTGAAAATGCAGGCATAGCAACGCCAGCGACCGTGACTCCGAACTTGAGCATCTTGAGAATCGTAAGGACATAGGGACCGTACTGCTGAAAGAATTCCTTGGGTCGAGCGATCTCGTAACCTTCATGCTTGGCGAGATGGATGTGATGAGGGATCTTGGTCTTGCTGTTGATCGACTTTGTGTGTTCACCGCACTCGCACAAAAAGTAGAGTCGAAACTTGTTCGAGAAGGGACTCATGGTATCCCATCCTGAGGGGTCCTGCGGAAGGACAACAAAGAGACGAGGGATCGGGTACTCGTGCAGTTCGTAGGTCTGAGTCAGGACGGCTTGCACACGAGACTGGAGCACGGCTAACTGATTAAGAGCTCGCTGCTGTAGCTGCTTTATCTCTTTTTGGTTGCTAAGGACTTGCTCCTGCAGCTGCCTCACTTCTTCCTGCAAGTCACTGTTCTTGACCACCAAATCTTTCAGCTCCTGAAAGTGCCCACTCAGTTCTTGCATAAACTCTGCTGGATCAAACTTCCCGTGACCATCCTTGATAGCCTCGGCAAACGCCTGGTAGATGTTCGGCGAGGCTCGAACTGTTTCTCGGACTTCAGGGGCCAAGAGGGAGATGAATCGCTCCACGATCTCGGATTCACGTGTCTCTCTTGATGCACGTATAGCAATCTGCCGGAGCGATATGGCTTTGGAAACGGGGGCAGGAGTAGGTTCGACAGAGGTAGACAAGACAACATCCTGGACCAATCGAGAACAATGGTTGATGCTACAGGGCATGATTCAGAGGAAAGAAAACAGAATGATAAGATGTTTGCTCTTCAAGACCATTCGTCTCAATTCATTTTTACGTTCCCTCATTACCTTTGTTGATCGGAACCCCGAAGAAACTTGATCACCGATTTGCCATTGCGAACGCGCTTAACTCCAGGAAAGACTTGCTCGATGTCCTCCCAATAAACAATGTTCTGTCCTTTAACATGATTGAGAGTGATTTCCACGGTATCCATGGTTTCAATCAAGTGAAACGATTGAGTATCCTCCATTGCTCTCTTAAGATGAATTGCGGGCGGGGGATATGGGAATGGAGAAAATAGCGACTATCTGTGAGAATAGGAAAGAGGGAGAATGTGTAACAAGGTTAGACTAGACTTGACTGCGTGCTTATGAATAGTGGATGATTTTAATAAAGTGTCGACTGTGAACTAAGGAATTTCTAGCTATGATGGAGATGGGGGCTATTTATGTGATACCGGGGCCAGGGTTATATCTAGACGGTTCTAGGGTTGCTTAGTCAGCAAGAGAGACTTGGTCTTGTGGTCACGTTGAAGGGTCTTGTGATCATGCTAGAAAAGTCTAGAGAGTTGGTGGCGTTGGTCACATGTCTTCTCAGAGTGCAACTCTGACATGACGACAGTTGGACATGCATACACTTTCCTTCGCTCACTGCTAATGATGGAGCTTTCTTATTTTGTGAGAGTCATCGGTGGTGGTCCAGCATTATCCACTGGCATCATTATCTCATTTCATTTGGGACTGGCTCCATGGCATCTCGTTGAATGCTATGCACACCACTTGAACACTTTTTGCCAATTTTCAAATCCTAAGTTTTTATTCGATCTTATGTCTGTTTTCTATGCCCAGCGCGTTTCTTAAGGTTGCTGCTAAATTCATTGGTGTCCTTGTGATGAAATAAAGGGTTAGTTTTTATTTGACGAAAGAATTCTCTATAAATTAGTGTGCTCAATAAACGGGTCAACGACCACCTTCTTTCTCGTCTTTCTTCTCTCACTAAATTTTGACTCTGGAGTTTCTGCATCTTGGTTGGCAGCGCCTCATATAGCTCGTGAAGGAAGTTTGGCGGCAAGTTGACCCATATTTCCTCCATACGATCAAATACCTCCTGTAGGGTAGCTGGTGGTGTTGCATACTTCCTGTAGAGTTGCTGTTTCATGTATCCCCAAACAAACTCGATGGGATTGCGCGACAGAAAGCTAGTGAAAAATTGGTTCAATGACCCATCCGGACATTTCGATCAATTCCTCAACAGCAATAAAAGATATCATAGTGCAACTTTTTTTACTGCCTTTCTGAGTACCATGGCTATCCTTTTTGTTAGTGGTGTAAGGGGTATACTGACTAGACTGATCACGGCGAAAAATAAGATAGAAGAAATGAAAAAATATTGGAGCCATTTTTGCACCCACTGTACAATAGAACGAAATGGCGAAATGAGAGGTTTATCTGATCAATTTCATAGAGCACTATAATATTATAATACATCTTCAGAAGATAGAGCCGAGGGAGAGGACAGACATGCACGCACATGCAGCTGGCAAAGAGGGCGAGGAGGATGCTATATCATCTCTCTTTTTGCCTTCCCCATCATCCGCTTCCACTATGTAACTGCTAAAGTAGTAGGATCGATAGGAACAAAGATAAAACGAGACAAGGTTAAGTACAGAGACACCCTTCACCAATTAGCGGACCACTTTTTACACGTCGAGGGCCTACCTCAGGTTGATTCTCCAATTGTTTCTCGTGTTCAGCCCGGCGTCTTCGTAGCTTGGCCGCCATCTCGCGATCATTGCACATTGTTGCCAAGAACTCGGCTTGCCCTTGCACGTGAGAATCTGCTGCCGCAGTCAATGTGTCCGCTCCTTTCAATTCGTTCTCCAAACGCAGAGCCTTGAATGAAGGGAAAGTACTTCCAATGGCCGACAAGGCTCTTCGTGCAATATGTCCTAAGTCCAGCTGTATCTTAAGCTCCTCCGCTTCGTCGCTAACGGCCGCTACAACCGGCGGCGCTCCGACGCAGAATCCATTTGGAGTGAAGACGCCGTCGGGATCGACTTTCTTCTTGATCTCACATAGACGCCCATACTTTGTTTCCGGAAAGACGGCGTGCGCGTTGTCGAAATAGTGTTCATGCTTCTGATCCAAATTCAGGTCGTGTGAACCCCATAGTACGCGGCGATCTTCCTTGCAAAATTTAGCGTCCGCATGACCTACGCATTTGTCGTTTTCCCTTTGCCACGCCTTTGCAGTTTGCCGAGCGGATCGATATCCTTGATGAAAACAGTCCAACACGCAACAGATGTGCGAGTCCCTCCAGCTGATGGCTGTGCTACCGTCGTTGTTTTGATAGACACGCGAGTTGTCGCCACCAAAGTGCTGTATCTGCACTGACAAATCGCATCCGTTGAATGGATTCCCTTCAATTTCGTGAATGCGATCACAAACATAGGTCGTCCAACCATCCTCTACAAGTCTCTGGGAGTTGGACATGAATGTGCGCTTGATATAAGGCTTCTCGAACTCGCGCACATTCTGAAATATCCAGTGGCCAGTCAGCTCGGAGAGCGGCCGGTATCTGTCGTCATCGACTTTGATGCCTAAGAAAGGAATCTCAGGTACCTTGTGGAAAATAATAACCAGGGGTTGTTATCAATAAGATAATAGGGAAGATGGAATAACGAAACAAAGAGAGGGATCTGTTTAATTCAGGGACGAAGAGTCCTTATGTACTCTTCGTCCCTATGTACACGTGATTATAGCTCACCTTGCCTCCAGCCCGCTTGATCTTGTCAAAGAAGGTCTTGTTGTATGGTTGATCTTCCCCTTCGAGATTGGCCCATTGCGCATAAACGGCAATCAGTGGTGGCCAAACAAAGCGGCCATCTTGGCCAAATATCTCGGGATGTTCCGTGCGCATCGTCTCGTCAAGATCCGGCGAGAACGAAGGGAAGATCAAAGAGTCCGCGCTCAGCACTGTCAAGCAGTAGTCGTAATCGGCCGGGAACGACGTTTTGTTGGCCATTCGCACCATAACGTCCAACAGACGCTTGAGACGATCGCGATTGTAGAGATAAAGGATCTTTAGACCGCGCGAGTGTGGGTGGTCTTCATCACGATGGACTTTAATGGTGACGTGGGTCACGACCCCAAAGTTTCCGGGACTTCCGCCCAAGACGGCAAAGAATAGGTCCTTGTCTTCCTCGATCGCGCGCCGAATCTCTTTCGGCTGACCATCGGCGGTAATGATGCGGATCTTTTGGACGTGATCAGCAAGAAGTCCGAAGCTTCGTCCCAGCTGACCGTATCCGCCGGTTTGGACATGTCCGCCGAGATGCACATGGCTGCACTGGCCATGTGGCACGAACCTGCCTTTGGCCGCGAGCTTGTCATGGAACACACGCAGCGAGTAGCTGACGCCGACGGTCACCAGGGTGCAATCAGTGTTTTCCCATCGAATCTCGTCGTACGTTCGGGATAGGGCAAGCTGGATGTTATCTCCATAGGTGGACGATGCGCCGCTGTATTGATGACCCCCCGTGCGTACAGCCACAGCAAGCTTGTTCGCCTTTGCGTACTGGATGGCTTTGATCACTTCGTCGTCGCCCGTGGGATAGATAATATACTTTGGCTGGATGATGCCGTGGGTATGGGAGCTTGAGGCATATTGATAGCAGTGTTCATTGTATTCAGGCTCGCCTCGCTTGTATATTTCGGTGAAGCCGGGTAACGGAACGGTAACGGAAGCCGATGCCATTGCGTGGATGGTTGCTGGAAGAGGTGAATTATACGATATGAGAAATAACAGTGCAAAAGTCAAGGCATTTATATAGACAATGCTCGCGATTCGAGCCGAGTCTAGGTCGCAATCCAGGCCTTTCCACTAATATATTAGCACATGGTGTCCAACATTTTCACATGTGCTTATAGAAAGACCAGCCAGCATGTGTTAAAACTACCCGATACTCATCCTCCCTTGTGGCACGCATCCATGGATTTAATCGCATTGACACCTGTCATGCCAGACAGCCCAGAAATGAAACAATAAACACCCCCGTCTATAGCCCTTGCAGGACAGCGGTGAATTTAGTGCCAAGATGTCTGTTTGAAACACCCCTTTCTATAGCCCTTGCAGGACCAGGTGTCAGAGTTGTCACTCTGATATGAGTCTCGCATGAATGGTGAACACGCACGTTGCAGATTAAACTATTTCGCATTATATACAGAAGTGTTTTGAGCGTGCTTCTTGGACTAGACACGATATGTCCTGCAAAGCCATAAAGAGGAGTACCCAGTTGGGGCGAGTCCTATGTCGAGTCCCATGCCCCCCGAACATAGCCCAATCTAAGTAGTCATATCAAAGAAACATGCAATATCCCCCGACACACGCATCAACACATGAAATGATTCCCTATCTTAGGTGTAAGGATGTTGACTATGGGCTTTATTAGCTCGTACTGTGCGCCAAAAAAATGATTCATCTTTTTGTGAATTCAGCTTTTTTTTCGAAATGCTCATTTACCAATGTTCCAGTCGGCCCCCAGATTCCTGTCATACATTCTCTTGATTCGTAACCTCATTCATCACTGCTTGTCTTTTTTTGCATGGACCGACATCGGGTCATTGCCGGAATTGAAATGCCCCATCTCAATGAATCACTTAAATGGATCGCATGTAGTGGCGACTGATCTCCATGTAAAATTTTACATGGGCCTAGCACAGGACAATCTGCTTTTTTTAATACTACACACTCAATGCACTTTCTATAGGCAAACTGAAAGCAGTTCCATACGAAAGACATTGAGTGTGATCCAAATATCTCTGATGCGCGAAAGCAGCCATTCTCAATAGAGCGTAATATCATGGCAAAGTGTGAATTCGTGCTAGATCCATGTAACAAAACATGCTTTAGGGATATCTTCTATAAATGACATAAAAGCTACGTAGGTTTCCTATTTCCAGGATCACACTCAATGTCTTCCGTATGGAACTGCTTTCAGTTTGCCTATAGAAAGTGCATAGAGTGTGTAGTATTAAAAAAAGCAGATTGTCCTGTGCTAGGCCCATGTAAAATTTTACATGGAGATCAGTCGCCACTACATGCGATCCATTTAAGTGATTCATTGAGATGGGGCATTTCAATTCCGGCAATGACCCGATGTCGGTCCATGCAAAAAAAGACAAGCAGTGATGAATGAGGTTACGAATCAAGAGAATGTATGACAGGAATCTGGGGGCCGACTGGAACATTGGTAAATGAGCATTTCGAAAAAAAAGCTGAATTCACAAAAAGATGAATCATTTTTTTGGCGCACAGTAGACAGGTGAACAAAGCATTAACAACGCGACCTCGAATTCCAATAAAGCAAGGATTTAAAGAGCCGACATCGAAGGATCAAAAAGCAACGTCGCTATGAACGCTTGGCTGCCACAAGCATGTGATTTGTTATCGAGCAATGTGACCTAAACGGTCTTTTTCCTCTTCATAAAAATCTTGGAAGCAAGTAATGATGGACGCGTGGTCAAAGAGTCTTGCGCAGTTCAATTGAGTCGAGGCCCGGTTCCGGGTTTAGATTAGGTTGTGGTCGAAGTATTCTTCAGGTGGCAGTGTGTTTAAGCCCAGACAGAAAAGACGCATGTGAAGAGAAGCTACGGTGAAACAAAAATTTTTAGCTTTGTGCACTGCCCAGGTGCTATATTAAGCGCGACATCTTGAGCTGAATGTACGTGAAAAGAATTAGAGCTAAGTTGGCGGCGAACGAACTCATGTAACCAAGATGCATAGCCACCTATGATGTAATGATGAGGAGAGGTGCAAAGAAATGGCGAAGCAGGAACACAGCCCACTTCTCAAGTCAAAAGGGTCCGCTCTGAAATTTTGTCTCTTTCTTCCAAACTCTTCATCCTATACTGTTACAGTATCATAGTGTTACAGTATCATAGTCTGCACTAACATTCCTATGCCTGCATTCCTCAACCCCTATTCTCATTCCTAATCCCACATTCCATACCCCTATTCACATATAGACCATACACTTAAATACCCTTACTGTCTGTACAATAAACCCTATCCGTTTCCGCCTCTTGCTCTTGTCCGCTCCCCTTCTTCTGCTGCTATTACATGGTAGCAAAAGTAACATCGATCCACACCCCTCCGCTCTGATCTGTCAATTCTTGATTTCTGCTCCCATTCTGTTTCTGTCCATCCCACTCAATTCTCCTCTTTCGCACCAGTCCCTCTCTTTTGCCAAACCACTTCCGCCTTTATTTCCACGCAGTTCCCTCTTCTTCTGTCCCTCATGTCCGCCGCAAACGAAATTCGCCAACTCACCACTGGCCTCAGCGAAGATGCCCAAGCCAGGATCAATACCCTTCTTGCCAGTCTTACTCCCCCACCTCCATCTCCAGGCCCGACCCAGCTTGAACGAGAAGCTGCGTATCGCGATGTCGCCCGCACCCTCCATAAAATCCTCAAGCCTCAAATGTAATAGCAACAGAAGAAGGGTGATAGACAAGAGCAGGAGGCAGAAACGGATGGTGTTTATTGTACAGGGGAGCCAGGGTATTTATGTGTGCTAGGCTATGGGCTCCAGGATGGTGGTGATGTGGTGAGGTGGTGATGTGGTTAGATGGGGATGTAATTAGGTGATAATGTGGTTAGATGAGACAGTGGTTAGATGACGCTAATGATCTAGGGTCACAACAGATTATGATACTGTGACACCTTCCCCTAATAAATAAAGCAGATCGTGTGTTTGACAGTATGTGCGAAGAATATCCGGACTATTGGCCATGTCCTTGAAGGGAACCCAGGTGGAGTCCTTGGCTGCATCGTATCCGAGCCATTTGACAAGAAACTCGATCTTGCGGCGCTTTGTGCGGTGGTCCAAGATGGCTTCAACCTCGTACTCAATTTCTCCATCAACAATTTCGGGGTCGGGTGGAGGTGCTACCCGACGGCCCAACGACTCCGGGGAGGGGAGGTATGGTTTGAGGCGGTCGACATGGAACACATCATGAATGCGCATGGTGGGAGGAAGCTCGACCTGGAAGGAGACCGGCGAACGTTGTGCCAGCAGGGTGAAGGGACCAAAGTAACGGGCCTGAAGGGAGGAGGCTGGTCGGCTGGAGTCGTAGGCTGTTGTGATGTTCTCGGTGCTAAGAAGGACTTGATCGCCGACTTGGTAAGAGTGGGAACGACGGTGAGCATCGGCATGCTTGGCCTGCACGGCTTGTGCGGTAAGGAGACTATCGCGGGCAGTAGCGAGGGCTGATTGCTGAGCATAGACAAACGAGTCAAAGTCCGACAAGGAAGCAGGGTCAGAGACACCCGTGGGTCCGAGGAGAGAGGCCGGTACTCGAGGATGGAAACCATGGTTCAGAAAAAATGGCGAGACGCCTGTGGACGAGTGGACCGCATTGTTGTATGCGAACTCGGCGGCAGGTAGGTACAGGTCCCAGTCGTCTTGTTTGTGATTCACCAGGGCGCGCAGCATGGTCTTGAGGGTTTGAATGGCCCTTTCCGACTGGCCGTCCGTCTGTGGGTGGAAGGAGGAGGACATGGCAAGCTTGGTGCCTAAGCGTTCCTGTAGTCGACGCCAAAAAGTGCTGGTGAATTTTGTATCTCTGTCGGAGACGATGGTGAGGGGGAGACCATGGAGGCGAAAGATGTTGGAGAAGAAACAATTGGCAACATCGGTGGCGGTGTCTGTGGTGCGACTTGGGGCGAAGTGCACTTGTTTTGAGACCTTGTCTACAAAGACGGTAATGGCATCGTGCTTTCGGGCGGTCATAGGTAACTTGACGACAAAATCCATGGTAACGGTATCCCAGCGCTGCTCAGGAACTTCCAAGGGATGGAGCAGACCGGCAGGAAGGCGACGAACAGCCTTGTTTCGCTGGCAGCTTGAGCAAGAAGCCACGTAGTTACGGACATCAACAGACATCTTGGGCCAGTAGGCCAGGCGGCGTAAGGTAGTGTACGTTTTATCGAACCCCAGGTGGCCAGCAATGGCAGCATCATGAACATCATGAAGAAGAAGAAGGCGTAGGTCAGAGAACTTTGGTATGCAGAGTAGGGTATCACCATGCCGCTCAACATACAATAAGCCATTATACAATGAGTAAAGGGATGGTGACTTGCCTCGGAGGCAGCTTTGATAGATAGGGCCAAGACGAGGATCGTTTTGATACCCTTCGATCAGGCGCTGCCTCAAACCTGTGTCCGCTTGAAGGTCAAGTGCATTGACTGAGAGGGGTGGGGGGTTTGGTACGCGGTGGTCCGGACGCCGAGAGAGGGCATCAGGAACGACATTGTCAGCGCCACGCTTGAACTTGAAATCAAAGTCATACTCTTGTAGAAGCTCCATCCAACGTGCTTGTCTTCGAGTGAGCTTGGGTTGCGTGGGGAAATGACGGAGCGTATCATGATCGGTATACACAATAAAATGGGAGCCGTCAAGGTAATACCGCCAGGTCTTGAGTGCGTGGACCACAGCGAGGAGCTCTTGCTCATGAGTTGGGTAAGCGGCCCCTTCATGTGCAGAGGATATAAAAAGGCATATAAAAAATATCCAAAGCCCAAGGAACGGAGTGTTTACTTCCATAACTGACATATCTCTTCATAGTGGGCAACAGAACACAGAATAAAATAGCAATAGACAGCACAAGAATTTTTAAAATGTAATCTCTCCCCTGTATTTCGCCCCAAAGATACAGTTGAGAGTACAAGTGCTTTAGATGATCACCTACAAGAAC